ATCTCAACCGCCATATTCTTCAGACCTTTCGCCAATCGACTATCACCTTTTCAAACATTTTCAGAACTCCTTGCTGGAAAATACTTCATCAATCAGGACCAGGCAAAAAAGCCTTCGTGGATTTCGTTCTCGACCACCCAGTTTTTTCTTTGATGGGATTTCTCGACTGCTGTCACATTGGCAAAAGTGTGCTGATTCGAATGGTGCTTATTTGGATTAAATCCGATGAGTGTTAAGAAAGTTATGATCGTTTAAAGTGAAACACTCAAAACGTGCAGAACTTTCCGGACAACCTAATAGAAGGCAAATGCGACCTCTCCCCTTCCCCACCCTACCTACCACCCCCTCAATTTTCCCATTTTGCTATCAGATTTTTCAGAATTTCGCGAAGATTTTCCTACTTTTCCCCCACTTTTGCTGTCGAGCGGCGCGGGGGAAGGGGTATACACTATATATGAAATAGAGAAAACCACGAAAAGTCATGAACCTCCCTCACAAGGCTAGAAGGCAAATACCACCCCTCTCCCTACAACGAGCAAATACGACCCCCCCCCTTTTAGAGCGTCCCTGAAACAAGGAGATCAACTATCAAAAATTTTTTTTCTTGAATAAATACGTCCCTATCTTCCCCAACGACCAAATACAACCCTCTCTCCCCCTAACGACCAAATACGACCCCCTTGCTGGGGAGCCTCCAACGATGATGTCCCCTGTCTACAGCAGCAGCTGGGGAACCTCCAACGATGATGTGCCCTGTCTACAGCAGCAGCGACCAAACAATTAGCGGTACAGCGCGGTCGATCGCAATGGCACGCTTGCCTAATGGTGCGATTGAATCGCTGCACTAGTGAAATATGAACGCAGCTTTAGGTTACATTCTAATTGGTGTTTCCGTAACCAAATGGTAAGTTGCAGTTTGCCTGTCCCGGCAAACAATCTTGTATCCATATCGATCCATGTCATAATGGGAAGCATTCTAAATTCCTCGATTTCAGGGCTCTCTCTGTGGCGGGGTGGTTTCTATTGATTGCTGTCTTCGAAGAGGAATGCTGAACAGTCGATTTGAAACGACCTACGTCGCACCATCGCACGTCATCATACGTGACGTGAACACCGGTACCAAAACAAATTTGGTGTCACAGAAGGGCTATGCAATCGAAAACCTCAAGGTGAGCTTTTTTTCGCGTCGCCACTATTTTTCCGAATTTGTTTTGACGCGTGCTACACAGCCGTGTTCGCTGCAGATGATGGGGTGTAGCAGTGAGGCTGGGTTTGACGCGCCCTCACCCCTTCTCCAACAGTTGTCAAAGTGGCTGATGGACAGCAATTTGTGAAAAACGACTCATACGAACGATATGATACAGTCTTGTTGCTTAGCGAAACAAAAAATAAAAAAAAGAAATGGCTGGCGCCGCGCCAACCCATCCCACTGACGCGCCTCCACCCGCCTGACGCCAGTTCTTTTGATGTGACACCGGTAAGAGTTTTAGAAGGAAATTGATAGGATGCTGGAAGAATCAGGGGAGATAGTAGGTAGGATGTGAATAGGAGAGGGTCTTACCGGGAGGTGAAATCTCGAGGGAAACGTACCGACACCGCCAGTTCGTCCTTCACTCATCCCGAGGTTAGTGCTTCCTTATTCCTCGTCTCATCCCTTAAAGGCAGTTGGCACGATAAGTCCCCCAAGACGAGTAGGATTAATGCGCCTGGCAGGACGGAATTCCGCGACCCTGAGCAGGCGCTGCATAGCGCCTTTTCCAAGGAAGGTGCCCTTATAAGGGCCCTATCAAGCCACAACATACCGACCCAAACGCCCACCACGCCCGCCCGCCCACAAATGGACGACCGTTCCTGACGCTCGTATTGATTCATTTGCTAAGCAAATTATGAAGCGAAGGGATTGGTATGAAGCGGCCGTGATGCTGCATGCATATATGGTACACATATGCAGCCGTATCTTCGGTAGCGGTTATTGGCAAGATGCCTACTCGTCCAAAAATGATTTTCAAGTCATTGAGCACGGAGGCTTTTTTTCGCAGGATTTTGACCGTTTCACTCCTTTTTTCGCCATTTCCCCACTATATAGCGCCCTACTAGCATTTTAGGCCGAGCACCAAATCATCGTGCCAACTGCCTTTAATAGCACCTGGCAGGATAAATCCACCCCCTGAACGACGGTGGACCCTACAACACCATCAGCTGCAACACATCGACCTCGACTCCCCACGGCGCCACCGTCCACAAATGGACGACCGTATCTGATGCTGGTATTGCTTCATTTGCTAAGTAAAATATGAAGCGAAGGGAATGATATGCAGCGGTCGCGGTGCTGCATGAATATATAGGTAGTTTAGTGCGGTGCATCGGAACCCTACTCCGTAAATTAGTTATTCGCGTGGATGTTTAGGGAACCTCGCCCGAAACTTCATTGAAGCGGGAAGGCTTTTCTTCGTAGATTTTTGGGACACGTGTCTCTTCTTTTTCGCCTACATTTTGCCCCTACTGTATTGCACCCTACTACATTTTAGACGAGTCCCATCTTATTGCCCTATTAGCACTTAAAAGAAATACAAATCCAAGATGATTCATTATTGCACAAATTTTTCTACGAGTACTTGATTCTCCTCATCTCCGAAATATCAATTTAATCAATTTTTCCGAAAACATCTATTCACTGCCTCCGCTACGCCTCATCTTTCCGCCTTCCGATTTCCGGAAAGATCACGGCGGATATAACCTAACCTAATGAGATAGGAGGAGTTCTTCATGAAATAGGTAGCCTGAATTCAGATGATGGGAAAAGATCGCTATGTGATCGCGTATACAACATCGTCGCTGATCTTGGCCGACAATGAAACAGGGCTCGCATCAGAAATCGACTGGCAATCGGGTGGCAATGAAAAGTAAGTCGTTTAGTAGATCGACTAGCTGCTTTGACCACCGATCAATAAATGATGGTCTTCAGATTTTATTTTGAATTCCAACATGTATGCGTGATTGTAAATGTCGGTGAGATA